GAAATTTTTACAAATTGAAACAAGTTCAATTAAATATGCAGACGCATCATATGAATGAAAGAATATCCTGCGAGGACACCGATAAGATTTCAAGTCATTAGACAGACGAACAGACAACTTATGGGAGAAATTTAGAAATCTATGCAAGCTGCCCCATAAGCTGATACCAAATGAATCTGATTGCATCAGAAATATTCGGGCTCCATTTGAAAATGCCTACAATAAAATGTGTAATCTAAATATATTTTGGTAGTGCGTTTCATTTATATTTATATTTGCAGGTAAGCTTCGATACGCAAGACAGACTTTGTGGGAAGTGTAATGTGTGCAAAGATCTTCTGTAGCCCCCATTGATTAGAAGTCTGAAGTGGCAGAAGTCGGCACCAGACTGAATATTGGATGACTGCCTAATGCCCGGTATAAAAAAATAATAACAGCTAACTTCACATACTGCGCAGGGTATTATATTCCATAGGCAATCTCGTGGACACTATGTTCTGCAGCCAAATACAACACCTGTGCAGTAATGAAATGGATCGTCATTTCGGACAAGAAATTCCAATAATTGTACGCCGTGCTGCGATTGCCTGAATTCATATGGTCGGCAAGTTATGATTTAAGAATACGATAGATTTATTATATATTTGGAAGTCTTTCTCACTCGTTTTTCGACTTTGCCTTATTTGTGTGTACAGTGCACACTGTCAATTGATGCCTATATTATCATTAAATCGGCTCAGTTCATCATTATCATTATCTGCGTGTGCTTTCTATTGCATTTGGTCTTTACATGCAATACCTTTAGATACAAGACTAAGACTAATCAGGTCTATGGCTGATGCTCTATCACTCCACACGATGGGCCAATTAACAGTCAGTTAAATGAATAACAATATATTTTATAAGTGAATACTGAATACAATGAATACTTTACAATTTCAATATAAATATATATACACTACTACTACTAGTTGAGTCAAGGCTATTGACTTAATGTCCTCATATGGCCACAATTGACAAACTCGAGAATATATATATTTTCATCAATAAAAATGTAACAATATTTATAACAAATTTTTTTTGTATAATTTTTTATTCTATGTTAAATAAAACATATAAAAAATATATGTATTTATAAATGAAAATATATAAAAGCATATATAATAAATATTGCTTTTGTGTATATAGTTATTTAATATTTATTAAAATTGTAATTATAACTATTTAAGTAATCTGAAAGCCAACATTAATATACAAAATAAATGTAAATATATAAAGTATATTATCTGTTTGGCTTTTGTTTTTAATTTGTGTTGCGAAAATATGCAAATATCAAACAATAATAATAAATGTAAAATTGTATAAGATTAATAATACAATAAGACCTTGCCCAGTCTACAATCAAACCAGCCTAAAATTAAAAAACATATTTTAATTAAAAATTTGTTATAAAATGCTAATTAAAACCAGCCTAAATTCAGCCATGATGCAAATTGTTTGCACAACTTTTCGCAGCAAAAGCATTTATAGCAAATCAAATTGCATGGGTTAATGTCAAAATGTCCAACAGGAGAAGAAGAAGCAACAACAGCAGCAACTAATTACTAAGCAAGTGGGTTAAAAGATAGCATGTACTCAGACACAGACACACACAGAGACGCCAACATACACACACACACATTACTATATATTTATATAAACACACAGGAGTATTGGCTGCTGAAGTGCGTTAAGATGAGTTCAGACTTAATGCGACCAAAGTAATTTTTACATAGACACACACATATATATATATATATATATATAGGGATATATGCATGCGTGAGTGTGTGTATCACACAAGCACATAAACGCACACAAGCGCCACACCAGACTCCTCACACATAAAACGCAACGCTCAGTGCCAGTCCTGACCAAGACAGATATAAAGAGAGAGTGAGAGCGAGAGAGAGAGAGAGAAGTGGAAGATTGTTTGTGTCTGCATTTTAATTAGTGGCAAAAGATACAAATTTAGAGCAAAGCTCAAAGCCAAAGCCCAGTCAAGGATATCAAATGATAAAACTCGTCTCGACAAACAAAGCTACGTCAACAACAACTGGGCAAATGTTTGGAAGTTAAATTGGATATATATTTACAGCTCTGTTCGTGAAAATAGTGCTGTGGGTCTGTCGTCAAGCTTATCATATTGTCCATAGGGCAACACACACACACACACACACACTTTCTAATTGCCTCAATTTGTTCGACCATGAAAACTGTCATTTTTCACACGCCTATGAAATTCTGCTCCACTAGGATGATTTTAATTACCTACGTAATATTAGAGCAATGAGGAATAGGAAAAGTAAAAAAAGCACAAATATATATGCACTATATATATATATATCTCACAGCCCACGTACAAGTTTTCCAATCAGAAAACAACAATAAACGCCATCGCCTAAGCAAAGCTTTTTGACCAATTGTAAGGCAGTCCATCGGCTTTGTAAGCCACTTTGCTACGAACTCTATAAATGGTGAGATTTACGATATAATCAACTAGTCAAAGAAATTTCAAATAATTTTCATAGCATTTACGGTCATTGATTGAACAGTTTTTATATGTATTATTATAAGTATTATATTACACTAACATAACTAAAAAATTAGTGAAAATTACAGGGTATTTTTTAGCAATCCTTGCACAAATTGCAGAACACTGATAGACTCAGTTATGCAGTTGTCAGTCATTAGTCCTATTCAAAAAAATGAACAAAAATTATGTTTTTTTCCCCTACATTCCATTTCATTTAGATTTTAAATATTTTCTAACTTATATTTCTCAATTGAAGGGAAGAGTATCCACACTTCGCTGTGTCATAGCTGACAACTTTTCTATTGACGGTTTTTCTGCCTATTTGGCTGAGCACAAAACAAGTGCGAAAAAGTTTAGCCAATCGCGCAACGTTTAACTTTTTTTCTGGTGTACAGCAAATTTCGGAAAACTGTTGATGAGCTGTTGTTGGAGGGGATTGTTGCACGGAAAGCGAGTGGAAAGGGTTAGAAAAGTGGGGCAAGTACATGGGATAATGCCAATGTACATTGAGCACTTTGTACTCCTGCAGTGACGCCATTTTGTATTGACCTTGCCAGGAAATGGTAAAGTGGTGCTGGAAACGGGTTCATCAACAACTGACAAAGCTTGGCATTCAGCTGCGCTTTAGCGGCTTTCAAAATGTGCGATAATCAGCGCAGAGGAGAAGCTGCCAAAGCTCTATTGAATGCTATTAATGGTCAATTCGCTCTCTCTCTCTCTCTCTCTCTCTCTACTCGTATTCTATCTATCAGGCTGTCACTCTCAGTTGAAATGCATTTTGCTGGGCAAAACGGAAATGAAATTTTGAGCATTCGATTCTGTGAATACGGTAAATACAGAATATATTTCTCCACACTTCTTCTTCTTCTTCGTTGCATGCTGAATCAGTGGCAATTGTGTTCGTGCAACGAGCTGCAAATTTTCAAGCAATTTCTATATGATTTGCACACCATGAGCATTTCAGTTCAAATTTGGCTTCAAACGTTTGAAGTATTCATATAAATAATATATATATATATATATATATATATATATATATATATATATATATATATATATATATATATATATATATATAATAAGAATAAAAAAAAATGAGATACCCTCAACCTTCTAGTATTTGAAGAGGAAGGATATATCCATATATCCATCCATAATATAAAATCTCTGCGCTCATCAAAGGCCGACCAAGAAAATCTGAAGTCTTCATACAAGGTTTGCTTAAAAAACGAATTCAAATTATCGATTTTTATCGATTTTCTATCAACACGCGTAAACATTTATGCCAGTCTCTTGCTCGTGTGACTAACGAGATCTCATCTGGTCGTGCTGATGCTTCCCATATCCAATGATTAAGCGTATAAAAAATAGCAAACATCTGTTACTTCCATGCATCTAATTTAGATTTCTATTGTAACAAACACATCCAGTGTACCAAAATCCTGTTGCAATCGACAGCAGCTCATGCTCCGGCTGTTGACCAACTTTAATTAGCACAACGAAAAATATGTAATAATATGTAAATGTAGATCTGAGCAGAATGAGAAAAACATTACCGCAATAACCGCAACACGTTGCCATTTTCGTTTAAAAGAGAATGCGAAATAATTGCCAGGCAAACAATTTACAGTCTGAATATTGTATACTAGACATACTATACTATAATATATATATATATATATATATAGATATATATATTATGTTATATTATGTATATTTATATATATATACATAACAGTGTGAATCAAAATTTATGACTTCTAAGCTGTTACCCAATTATGCAGCGGCTTGCGTGAGGGCAGTCGTAGATAAACTTTTCTCAGCAAATGAGTGATGAAAAAAAAGTCAAATAAAGGAGTTAGGAAACAAGTATGAAGGCTCTATACGAGTTGCCCGAATAGCAGATACCCTGAAGCCCGACCGATCTGCGCTTTATTATTGTATCTATGCATAGCTAGCTAAACCACACGCAGATACATTTACAGATTCATTGATGCTTACAAAAAGTTCGAATAAAATTTGAATTTATATTACATCATTATAAAAAAAATACCTGTTTATTAAAAGAATAGCGAAAAACTAAACCGAAACTGGAAATCGCTCGCAGCTGAACTCCCAACTCTTCAGCGACACGCATCTAAACTAAACTAAACTAGCAGCTGACAATTCATGTGCAGCTCGACGTACTGATCAAGAATGAATATATTTTCTGGGGTCAACCACGCCAACTAATGTCTGTTACATACATTTTAAGAAAATTTGATTTACATTTGATTTCCATCAATAAGTTGGCTATACATATTCGCTAGAATAAGCAGATCAATAGAATATCTCGCCAGGGCATCAGTAAAGTTTGAAATTTTAAGTAATTGGATAAATCTAAGCAAGCTGATATCTTAAAATAAAGCTGAATCTGATTTCAGGCTTATTCAGAAGTATTCGAACGTTAGAGTTATTCAATTTTAAAATGCCCACATTAAAATTTTTTGTCTCATTATTTTTGAGCTGTGTTTTTGTTTTTGTTCAGATAAGTCCTGGTAAGTTACGGACGTCACGGTATATATATATACGTATTAATATATATCTTATAGGACTAGGACTAGGACTAGGAAATATGTGTTTTGACTGCAGCAAATGGTTATCAAACTGTCAGATTGAAAAAGGGCTATTAGTTGCTTTCGCAGAGGAAGATAACAGTATTTTAGTTGACGCTGGACCTGATGAGTCACCAGACTCCGCCTTGGAGAACTGTCTACTCCCCGGAAAAAAAATAACAGGTAACTTCGCATTGGTTTACTCAATCACATTCCGCGCAATGTATTACTCTGTGTGCATTATTGTATTTCAGGCGGCCTTGTATCAGTTGTTTGTTCCGCTGCCAAATCTGGCTCCTGTGGTGTAATAGGTAATAAACAATTGGAGTCGTGGCATAAAATTTATTGCAGTCTATGTGCAAAAAAGTGTGGTTGCACGTTTTCAGCTGCTCCTCCAATTAGTAAAGGAAGCGGTAAATTGATATTATTCTTGGGCGTATTTCACATTATGTTATATAAAAGTCTCTCAAGCTATCAATAAATTATAGAAGTATTTATTGACCTTTATGGTATCATATCATTAGTTCTTATTTATATAAATGTAAATGTTCTCACATCTGGGTTTTATTAGAACGCTCTGAAACTCATTCTTTCTAGTCAACAACTTTTATGGTATTCAAAGGCGCTCTAAAATTTACAATTTAATAGAAAGGATATTTAAAATAACACTTGATTCAGTTGATGAAGCGAAATACTTTTGCAAATTCAATATTAATGCAAGACTGCGTGTGCATGTGAGAGCAAGCAAGACACATAACAGCAGTCTCGACAAGATACCCTGCAAAACGGAGACATATCAATGATTTTACGCAGAGAAGAGACCTACACCCAAAATTTGAAGTCTCTAACAATTACCATATTCAAGTTACGCTTTAAATGCCATATCGATTTTTATCAATAAAGAACTTTAATGAGTTATCGAACAAAATAAATACATTTCATTTAAATTGCAATCAGAATTGCATTTGAAATTTCAAATCTCTAGCATTTGTGGTCTACGCGACAGACAGTCAGAAAAACCTAATTTCCTAAATTCACTTTTTCAATGGGTTCAAGGTATAAAAAGTTTGGTCAACGTCTTCAAGTAGTTGCCGAAAATGTTACTCATGCCCTTGATGCACCCTCGCCCGCACCTTCTGCAGACTACTTTTGTCTGTGCCACGGCTGACTCGGTTCTTAGTTTATTGCGACAAAGAACTCGCCCAACCGCTGCTTGAATTGGACGACTGTATTAACTATTAATTATGTTCATTAAACTCACGGCATATTAAACGCACGCACTGTACTAAAACAGAAAATATATGTACATCTATAAACATGTATATGTGGGTCTATATGGGGGTCTATGGTGGAGTCTATGGGTGCATGTGGGAGTTTTTGGTTCGGAGGTAATGCCTCATTAATGATACGCCATTTGGGTTCTCGTATACTTTTATACCCTAAGACCATTGAAATCGGGAAATCGGGGTGTAATGGTTTTCATAAAGTGTATGTAGCAAGAAGAAGGAGGTATATGTATTCTTGATTAGGCCGACAAGCCGAGTAAGTATGATCGCATCGATCTCAGCACCTATAGAAGCTAGAGACTTGAAATGTTTTTTTTGTAGCTGTTTGGCGACTATTGGCGATTGAATCAGATTCTGCTGGGCAAGTCCAAGCAGGGTGTGAGCAAGTCCACGATGGCCACGCTGGATGAGAATATTAAGCTACAACATATGGACCTAATGCTGTCAAGAAGTCTGAACGCATGTTCACAACTGAGTTGCGTAGAGCATTCGCTTCATATTACAGTTATTGCCAAATGTGTTTATTAACTATTAGCATATATAAATGGAGGCTCGGCACACCTCAGACGAACTAAGTCGATTTAGTTTAGATTTCGTTGCTGTTCGAGTGTTCGCAAATGAGATGTTGCACAGGGTATATCCTAGTCGGGCAGTCCCAACAAGAACTTTCTTACTTGTTCTTTATTGTACTGTAGCACACCACTTACTACCTCTCAACTGGTGTGTGTAGTTCATATTTATGTCCATTCCATTATTGCCTTTCAAGTGTGGGCCATATTTCCCGGGTGTTAATGTAATGTAAGCCATGTAATGGGACAGATTTGTAGCCATTTAGTGCATAAAGCGTGACCAAATTCTCATTAGATAAAGAACGCATGTGAAAGCTTATATTGAAAAGCGGTCGCAAGTGAATTAGTTCAAGTCACAAATATTACCTTAATCAACTGAGTAACATTATGTTTTCAGAAATTTACTCGAAAGTCCTGCTTCTCATTTGACTGATTGGATATTCCCAGTAAAATGTATGCGCAATCAATCGAATTTTTCTCTCAATTATTTGGTACATTCAAGGCAGTGGTCAAATCATATATGCAACTACTTTAGTTAGCTGCCTACAGTGAAGTCAGTTTAAAGTGTCACCAAAACAAAAAATCAACCCACACAGCCAGCCACACTCCCATCTCCCGTCTTAATACACTGCTTGAAATCAAAGTCCGAAGTAGAAGCAAAGTCAAGCTACTTCATTTTCGCATAGCTGGCCGTAGCCCGTAAAGCAAGCAGTAAACAAAGTTTATTGCCCCACCAACCAACAAACCGTCTTCGACCGCCCGCCCGCCGGCATCGCAGCACCTAAAAAAGCTCCCGCTCATTGACTTGCCGTTACAACAAAACTTTTGGCAAGCAAGTTTAAGCTAGTTGAGCGCCCGCCTGGAATGAAATGAAATGAAATGGAATGGGAGAGACGGCGCAGCCAGCAGCATAACTGTTAAAGCGAGAGAGTCACTGAGAAAAGAGAAGGAGCATGAAGCGGTAATGTGCGTGTATGGGTGGCTCTGCAAAAGTTGTTAAGAAAATATGTCTACACTTGCCGACATCCGTTTCCGATTTTAGACGCGCGTTGCTTTTGCGTGTGTGTTTACTTAGGGACTGGGAACCGTTACAAAGGCTAATATATACACGCACACACACACACTCATACTCATACTCATACTTGTGTTGGTACACTTGTATTGGTGCATAGGACACATTCATTGTGTCTCATTTAGGGCCCGCACATTGAATGCAAATGGCGCAAATTCAAATTACAAACCAACAATTTCCTCAAAATGTGTTTCGCACTTTTGCTTTCTTCGTTAATTTTTCTATTTTCACGTACAGTTAATTGCGCGTTTTTTGTAGCTGTGTGTGGGTGCGTGTGTTCCCCTCTATGCTTGACTCCCTTTCAACATAGCCTGTGGCTCTCCTTTCTATTTATTTAATTTCATCTTCTTCGTGGAGTGTCGCGACATAATTTAATGTCAATTAGAAAAGTTTTGCTTTTAATGCTATACAAATAGTTCAAATAAGCAGTAGAAAAGCTCTAGTCGGAAGTGCCCGACTAGGTGACACCCTAAACTCAATCCGTCGATAACTCATCACCTTTTCATATTATCAATAAAAATCGATATTTTGGCTTTGTTTTTAAGCGCAGCTTGACATATGCGGTATATGTTGGAGACTTTAAATATTTTGTGTAGAAATTTTCCCATGAGATCAGTTAAGCAAATACCATTTAAAACGTAAAAGGATTTACATCAAATAGTTTGTAGACATTGCTGATTGTCACGGCACTTGTGGAGGTTGACATATAATATTAACCATGGATCTCAAGAGTAGCTCAGGTAACACATTTGGAGTCCTAAATATTTCCACTATAAGTCGAAGGTCTTCTGTATATTTGAAAAATCTCAAGTTCAGAACTTCAATAGCTGAAAAAACGAACTCAGAGGCAGACCGGACAGAAGAGGAACACACAGAGGAATAGCGTACGAACGACGCATATTGCACAACGTCAATATACCCTTCCTTGTGTTCTGCATGAACCAGCTTTAAAAGTGTATTTAACATGTTAAATTTGATCTTAAGTTTAACTAAATTGATAACAAAAATTGCAATTTAAAGTTCAATAAATTCGAATTCGTTCGTCTAACCCAGCGGACGTGTCATAGTACCGTACGCAACGATTATTAATATTATTATTTTTTTTATTGTTTATCTCACTCATCGAAATCCCAATTGTTCAACTAAGCCAATTATTTTGGTGGATTTTAAGCAGCCTATTTCATTATCAAAACAGCTCGACCTAATCAATAACAGCAAAACGTTTAGCCTTTTTACCTCTTCCTTTCCTCTCCTCCCCTCTCCTAGGACAGGCAAACACCAATAAGGCGCAAGTTTATGAATAAGTTTACATTCATTTCAGTTTGCCACCTAAGAGGCAAATAAGGCTACTAGGAGGGAGAGTAAAAGTATAAAGATCGATAAAAATGAAAAGAAAAAGGAAAAATATTAAAGAGGAAAATTGTTCAGCTTCATTGCCACAGACGAGGGAAAAACAGAAGAGCACAAAAATTTGCATGGGTCGACATTTTCTGATTGTGTCTGAGTCCGAGAGATCCGAGCTCCGAGCTCCGAGGGGGCCTACTTGTTGTTCGTGTGTCTGCTATACAATATAACAGGGAGTAGGCGCTGTGAACAATGGATATGCTACATGAATGTAATGTGCCGCCAAATCGGGCCAATCTGTAGAAAGTGGGCGCACAAATAGGGATCGGGGATCGGGGTTCGGTGACAGGCAGCCATCATCAGAGTGGCATGGAGTAAAAATGGGGGGCAAGAAGACGGGCAGTCGCGTCTGGCGCGTTGACTTGCTGTTGTGCCAATTCGGGCAGGGTTGCCGTCCTTGCTATACCCTCTACACATGGCAAACCTATACAGAAGGTATATAGGTTCAGGAGCAGCCACGTCGTTGCTATACTTAGACAAGCTCATTCCTTTCAAGTTTCTATCAAATCATCGAATATTGAAATTCTGTTCTAGTCTAGCTAAAATCAAGCTTCAGTTTTGGTATTATGCCAATAGGGTTGATACAGGGTGTCGCAAAGTCGCATACTTTTACATATTTCTCATGGCAGTTGTGTTAGTTGAAGGCAAATAGCAGCAGCAGCAGCAGCAACAGCAGCAGTAGCCATCGCATAACAAATTTGTATATTTCGTGTTATTTTCTTTTTCTTTTTTTTTTTATTTATTTTCCTTTTCTTTTTTTTTTTTTTGTTGTTTGTATTATTGTAGCAGTTGTTATGGAAAATAAATTGGCTGGGCTTATTTGATGCACAGGTTTGTGTCTGATGCAAATAACTAGGAAGTGGTCGAGAAACAGAATGGATGCCATTTAGATCTTCCCTCAGTGGACAGAGGGTGCTTAGCTGGGACTTTCATTTACATTTTCACATAAAGATTAGGCGTAAGAAGCTCATTGTAAAATACAACAAAAAGTTCTGATAGTAATTTCAGTCTTATAAGCATTTCAATTCATATGTATAAGGTTAGGCTTAAAATTTGAGATTCCGCCTTAACGCTGCGGCACACTCGCTTTTGGCCTTGTTGCTAAATTAACACTGTCTGATCCGTT